TCAACAGTTCAAACTGTTGAGCACCTTGTTCTCTCAACAACTCTGCTTGTTGAGAACCTTGTTGGTGAAGCAAGGCTACTTTCTCGCGTTCTGCGTCAAGTTCATTTTGAATGAACTTGGCGATAGTAGCATGTTGGGCATCTCTATTGAGAGCCTCTAGCATGACGCTAACAGCATGGATGCCCATGGTCGAACCCATTCGTTCAACCGCATCCCATTCGACATCGCTCAAATGGGAGTAGCCGTCACGCGTAGCGTGAAAGCTTTGGTCATCTTCATCATCCAACATATTCATGTTGGATGTGAACGCGGTCCTTGGACGGACTACGAAGTGCTACCAGGTGCAACGGGGCACCCTGAAGCTTGTACTGGTGACAGTACAAGCTACTTATTCTGATAACAGAATAAGGCGGTGCCTCGTAACTTCACGTACACTCGTACGTGCAGAGGAAGACGGTAAGAAGAAGCGAGTACTCGGTTAGAGTAAAAGTAGAACTGTATTTATAATAGTTAATGTCTGCAATAAATCACTATTTATCTTCATCTAACTATGTCTAAATACAAATGTGTAAATCAGTTATCTGCTCACCACTCATTGCGTGCGTCTGTCGTGGCGCGTCTTCGTTGGTTGATATAATGGCCTATATCAACCAATTAGGAACTACTTGGAAGTGCTACAGAATATTGTCCTTATGACAATATTCTGAGAATATAACTCTTATAGTTATATTCTATTAACAATTTCTTATAAATTGTTATGTAACGATTCACCCCGTTACAATCATACTCACTCTTCAGTGTCTGACGTTGTATCATTTTTTGCGACTTAAATCAATTCTTTTGGACTGCATTACTTATATAAATAAGCAAGCTCGAGAGATTGCTCCCCTATTTTACACATAGAGAATGGTTATCCACGCACCCACTTTTGCTTTCCGCACACCCCTCGTACTGGTACCCATAAAGCAAGGTCGGTTGTTGGCTGATAGGAAAGGATTACATGTACGAGTACCACCGCCTTAGGGTGGGATAAAAAACTCTCAATTGAAAGACTACCTTTGCTTCCAGGTGTAGCTCCTGGTACTCTAATGTATATAATTAGTCAAGTTTTAGTCATTAATTACGGTCGCCTTTACTGACACCGGTCGAAAGCGGTACATAACGCCGTATCGTGAAAGGATAAAGCTCCGAATAAGTAGTCATTGTTTATACGTAACCGCGATTCTGCTCGAGTATCCACCCGTATCTATGAGATGCTAGACAGATGAGCCATACATTCGATGCATCGCCCGCCTCCATCATTGCATTTCTATTCGTAAACAAAGGAAGATGCCGATATATATAGACATGTGTCTGTTGCAAGTTGACATGTATCACTTTTACATTGACCAGAACGATGACGACCACAAGGCGAAGGTCAAGACGACACTTCACTAGAAGATCGCATATTCTCACGCCTTATCAATTTAATTCGATTGCCTATCGATACACAAGCGACAGAGGAGCTGAAGAGCTGTTAATGCGGACGCTTTTACTTCTTGCTGAATTGCCTGGCATGCACGATGCTGAAGAAGTGGAGAGTACAGATGGATAAAAAATGTCACTGATGGAGTGACACTATAAATAATATCAGTGGTAAAGAGGATGCAGCCTATTAGATGATGATATCACTGTATCGCAGCCATGTAATCGTGCTCGCACAAATACAAAGATGTGTACAAAATAAAATTAGGAGCTCACAATGTAACGGGGTAGCCCGCTACATGATATTGACACCGAACGGTGTCAATAAGGAGATTTTCCAGCGTGACAATTTCCAGCTAGTAATATCCGAGATGGATAATATTATAGGAATATTATCCACTTGTAGGATAACATTCATGCGCTGCTTAAAGATTGGTTTATGAAAGACTTATCAACCAAGGTTACCACCAAATACTGCTAAACGCGCGAAGTGGGTGATGAGCAAGTTGTCGTCATACAACAATATAGGTTAATCTAGTTCGATAAAAACTGAAATTTTGTTGATAGCTTAACGATATTATACTCAGTTCTCTTGTTACCTTTACTCAAACTAGCTGTTTGTGTTGAGCAGCTTCCTCTGCACGTACTAGTGTACGTGAAGTTTCGTGGCACCCAGACAAAGGGTGCCTGTTACACCTGGCAGCACTTCGTAGTCCGCCCAACGACTACTTAGATTTCGTTTAACAAGAACATGTTGGACGTAGAAGAGGACAGATTTCACGTCCCACGTGAAGGCTACTCCCATCTGAGTGACTCAGAATGGAATAAAGTCGGCCGCATAAGTTTGCTTATGGGCGAAGTCGCCATCAGTGGCACGTTGGAGTTTCTTAGCGGAGACCAGCAACATGCTGCTATCAACAAGTTCCTACAAAGGGAACTTGCTGTCGAAAGACAAAAGATAGCCTTGCTTTAAAAACAAGGCTCTCATCAGTTGATGGGTCGGCCGACGCACATGCATCGACCCGAAACCTTGAAGATTGATATCTCAAGGTACAAGGAACCGATGAAGGTTCCCTTTTGAGATGGTTCATCGAGTTAGACTACGCCATCAGGGACCGTCACATCGAGGGTGACGAGACGCAAGTAACCTTCGCCCTGTCAAATTTGACGGGACGAGCAAAGACTTTGGCCCTAGAGCTCAAGCTTCACGACCCAAACGTGTTTGAGTCGTTAGATACCTTAACGTCTCGGCTCCAAGAAACGTTTGAGCCGCCAAGAAACGTTTTATCCGCCAAGATTCGAGTCCGGAGCACGCTCTGCACTCTTGAGGCTCCGGCAAGGTAAGCGTGATGTGCACGCTTAGGCACAACACCTACGCTACCTTGCAAGTAGCGTCACGGAATACCCTGTTGACGAGCACACGCTCATCAACGTGTTCATATACGGCCATGTAGACGGGCCGTTGAAGACCTACATGTTCCGAGAGGACTTCCATACGCTGGAAAAGGCGATAGCGTATGCGGAACAAGAAGACTTAAGCCTGAGACAGTCTCAGGCTAACTCGTCTGACTATCGTCCGACGAGACAACAAGAAATAGGAGTTCACGAACCAATGGACCTCTGTTATTTTGAGTGCGAGAACTCTTGCTCTCTGAGTCGTAAGCGGTCGGCAAGATGCCATTGCTGTTAGAAGATTGGACACTACTCTCGTGAGTGTATTGTCTTAAGGACCTCATAACGTCCAAAGACAGGACGTGATGGCCTCCGTTGGCTGAGAAATGGTCCAAGGCGCGGACCCGACCATGCCGCTAGACCGTTCCAGCACGTCGGCCCACCTGAAAACGGTAAGGGTCAACAGGGGCAGAGCACCCTGGTGGTTTAGCAACGTCAAGGGAATTTGCAGGACTCTTGATGAAGTTTGCTCCCTACACACAGTCGGTGTGTGTTACTGCCCCTAGTGATGAAGTGTTTCTCATCACTTTGAAGATAGAATTGACAAGTGGGATGTCACTTTGCGCCCTAGTTAACTGTGGTGCGTCGAACAGTTTCATTCTACACCAGTCGCTAGAGGATAGTAGACTCAAGTGTGTTGAGCGAGAGATCTGTCCAACAAGAATGACGATGTGCCTTGCTACATGCGCATCCGTAATAGTGAACAAACGTGAAGTGGGGATCCACTACAGACTAGAAGGAAATTAGTACAATGATGCCTTTATCGTATTAGATTCCGATGACAAATTTGATTCCACTCCCGTTCTGCCATGGCTTAGAAGATACAAGCTATGCGGCAGCTGGCAGCATCGATACTGAAGATGCCTGCCGTTTGGTTATCAGATGGCCATCTGATGAGCGTCTTGGAGCGTTCACAAGCGTGTTTATGTACTACGAGTAAGTGTGATGGCCTCACTTGTGGTACGCTAGTACCATTGCACAAGATAACATTGTAGAAGGCCACTACACTGTGTAACCATCTTCCGGCACCTGTGTAGAGACACAGGCCGCACCGAAGGACCACCACTCGAAGAGACCGAGTGGACTGGAACACGGATGCACATCAAGAAGGGTGCATCCGAGAAGAGAGATTAGTGTTGTTCAGGATGAACAACACGTTGAAGCGAGATCGACTGTCAGAGAGTCGGTCGTAGAGCAAGCCCGCTCGACTGAAAGAGAGTCGATCGAAGAGGACGTGACTATGATAGTGCACCCACAGTCAGTACACGTATTGAAAGAAAGTCCAAGTGTTCCGGAGAGTGAGAACTCCCGAGAGAGTTATATTGAGGGTGTGGATCCCTAACAACCTGCGGATGTGTTTTCCCAATAGACACCGAACCAGTGAATGTCTTGCAGAATGACGGATTAAGTGTAGGCGCTTATACACTTGATCTGGCTACACTTCTAAAGTCAGATTTGGATGTTATCAAGTTGACAACGCTAGAATCTGAGAAATCCTTCCGAGATATGCGTAGTGGTAAATTCAAGCAGATCTGTGTATTCATCACAGAGGACGAGCACGTCGCCGATATTCGGTTCGCCCAAGTGTATACTAAGAACGAATGGGTTCTCAGTAGCTCATCGATGAACGCGAGTGTCCTCGATGAGAAGACCCGGATTGAGCGATACACGTCTCAATCTTGGGAGTCTTTAGAGACGTGTCCTTTGTGCAAGGATTTGGTCAAATTTACGGATGTTTCTCCCATTACTCTGTGCCATGCGAGCTGCTTAAGGACAAAGGCACTCGGCATGATTTTTAACTGAAATCTAATTAGAGATACCGTGTCATGAAGCAGTGGTCACTGCCTCGTGTACAGGTCACAGCGAACGACAAATTATTCGCCGATCGCTTAGCGGCTGGTAATGTGAGGGAATCAACATCCCCACACAGCTCTTCGACCTTCTGTGTGCGAAAGGCCACAGGATGGTGGTGGATAGTACACGCGCTCAACAAATTGAAGGCTGCAACGGTACCGGCTCGGACGCCGATACCGAGGAAGGAAGTAATCATTGATAGTATGTCATGAAGTACCATCTCTTCGTCCATGGATTTGATGGATGGATTCTATCAGATCCTCATGCGTGAAAAGTACATCCCGTACACAGCGGTGAGCACCCCCGGTGGTACACTCTGGGAGTGGCTAGTGATGCCACAGAGGCTGAGAAACGCCTCTTCTACTCTCAATAGATATGTTACGAATCTGTTGCAATCGTTGCGAGAATTCGCACCGAGTTACTTTGACGATGTCTTCGTCCATGGCGGGGCTATGGATGTAAAGACGGACGTGGAGGTTCATAGAATCCACGTCCGGAAGGTTCTTACGCTAATGCGAGAGCATAAGTTGTTCACGAACCTCAAGAAGTGCACATTCGCAGCGAAGGAAATACCACTTCTTGGCTTCATCGTGGGTATGAACGATGTACGTCCTGATCCGGAAAAGATCAAGGCGATTAGCAACTGGACTGTGCTAGTCGACGTCAAGGGACTTCGAAAGTTCCTTGGCTTGGCGGCGTACTTGCACAAGTACACGCGCAACTACGCCGAGATGACCGTACATCTATCTCGTCTACTAAAGAAAAACGAGAGGAGGTCATGGAGTGCTGAGTGTCAGCACTCCTTCGAGGGTATCAAGAAAATCTTAATTCAATCGCCTGTGTTGGCGATTGCAGACCAGGACAGACCATTCCACGTGGTCTGTGACGCCAGCGATTTTGCAATCGGCTGCGCGTTGATGCAGTATGACTCAGACGGCTTTGAGCGCGTCGTCTGTTATCAATCGCCTCAGCTGCAAGCAGCTGAGCGTAATTACCCAATGCATGACAAAGGAACGTCTTGCCATTGTCATGAAATATGCACTGGCTAAGTTTCGGGTATATCTCTTAGGAGATAGGCCCTTCATCGTTTATACCGACCATGCCTCATTTTGTACGGCCGTAAACCGTCCACACCTCTCGCAACGAATGACGGGGTGGCTGTATTTCTTCGCGGAGTACAACTCCTCCGTCGAGTATAAACTAGGACGACTCAGTGTCGTCGCTGATGCTCTTTCGCGTCGGCCCGATTTCGAGCCGACTGCTCAAACCAACAGTAGGGGTTATCCCACTGTTGCGACACTGTCAGTGAGTGTTCCGTCGTCGAATCTCTTCGACGACTTGCGAAAAACATACGCAGGAGATGAATCTTTTATGCGATTGATGGATTACGTATCCAATCCGTGCAGTAAAGCTTTGAAAAGCTTGTCGTCTTGATACCGCTCTTCAACCGAACGGTTTCGGTTTTTGATCGACTGCTGTACTATACAGCAGTCAACGGCGACACACCTCGTGTCGTCGTTCCGGATCATAATGATTGGAGATTGCGCATCATGTCTGAGTGTCACGATGCCCCAACAAGTGGACATCGCGGTAGAGAAAAGACTTACCTCATGGTGAGTTGTGACTTCTGCTGACCCCGCCAGTATGATTTTTTGCGCAAGTACATTCGCGCTTGCGAAGTTTGTCAGCGGGTGAAGCCTAGTCCTTCATCCCGCGCACCATTGCATCCTTTACCTATTCCGGCAGATTGTTGGCAGTCCGTATCGATGGACTTTGGCTTTGGATAACCCAAAGACGCTCACAAGAATACTTGTAATCTTGTGTTTGTTGATCGTTTTAGCAAGATGGTACATCTTGTTGCTGTACCGGAGTCTGTCACAGCCCGGGGCTGTGCTTGTGTCTTCATCGATACTATCTTCGGACTTCATGGGTTGCCCCGTGAACTCGTGTCTGATAGGGACCCCCGCTTCACAGCGGAGTTCTGTCAATCCGTATTCCGTTCATTTTCGGAACACGCTTGAAGATGTCGACTTCTGACCATCCAGAAACAAAAAGTCAGACGAAACGCGTCAACCGCGTCCTCGAAGAGATACTTTGAGGGTATGTCCACTCATTTACGAATTGGAGTGAGTTCTTACCGATGGCGGAATTTGCCATCAACAACTTGGTGCGTGCGTCGACAATGCATACAATGTTCTTCGTGAATGAACTACTCTGATCACATTTACCTGCCGTCTTTAAATGTAAGTCTAGTTGAAAAGGGGTGGACTCGCTCGAACTAAAACCGGTCTGGTTCCTGCTCATCACCCGTCGACAATGGTGTCGACGTGATGGATGCCGATGTCGATCCGATCGATATCGATGATGATGATGACGACGATGCTGGTAAATTCAGCATCTCCAACGACTGATACAGTTAGGAATATGACGACCTCACTTGTAAAGGCGTTCTTTCAGCAATGCACACGAAGCACAATGATTTGACAAGGATGAGTCAGCAGAGGAATTCTGCTGGCTTGCCAAGCGGTTGTCCGCTTCGTTCAAGACTGTATTGCAAATGCAATAGACAAGCATAAAATAAACGTAGACAAACATGCTAGATCAACTGTTCTTTAATTTTATGAAGGAGACCTAATTTTACTGTCAGCAGCAATTCACTGAAACACGCGGTGACAAACGTGGGCAGTAGTAAATTACAGCCCATGTATATCGGTCCATTTCGTGTGTTGCGCCGAAGGGCAACGCAAACACGATTAGATTGCCCGGTAAGATGCGTACGCATCCTACGTTTTACGTTGGACGTCTCCGCCCGTACTATCAGTACGATCCCGTTTCGACAGGTGAAGAACACTTCCGTGGTCAAGGGCCGATACTACCTTCGAGTGGTCCCGTTTGAACGAGCCAGTCTGGTCGAATACCGAAGCGACCGGCTCACGCAGTTGAGCTATGTCTCGACGAGCTGCAGCCAGCTCGTCACGAAGAGAACGAGTCGAACGTTCGTTCTCAAGTTGCGCTAACGTTAACGAGGCACGATCGTTCGAACGATCGTGCGCTAAGGAAATGTAATTATCCCTTGCAAGATCATGGAGCTCATAACGCCGAGTCCGTTCGTGAGCCAGGTCATCTTGTAACTGATCGGTCATACGGCTCAGCTCCTGGACGTCAAGTTGATCCGACCCTCGAGCCGGATCAGGTGTTCCCGCCGCCACCACACCCTTTGGTGGACTCAGGCGGTGGTCAAAGCTTTCAAATGGAGCGTATTTTGAACCACCGCAACGTGAGTGGCGTCAAGACGAGTTAACTTGTCCGCTGGCGTGGCTATTCAGCGGTCTGGGACATCTGGGGCCTCATACCCAGCTAATTGTTGATGTTTTGGGTCTCTTCGATCAATATGACGAGACCCATCCGATGCGTTAGTAAAGGGGACATCGGAAAGCGACCTTCCCGAACGCGTGCAAAATTGCATATTATCATCTCAGAAGAGATGCGCGCCCTCCAGTAGGGAACACTATGAATTTAGGCCTTCCTAGGGGCAAGATTCGCATTGTCCAGGCAACTTGGCAACGGATCGCTCCACAAGAGACCTGGTAACCCTGCCTCTCTTGACAGTCGGTGCAACTTGTATCGTACACCGGCTTATTTACGCTTTTCAAACATGATGCGAGTTCCATCAAGTTTACCGAGCCAGGCCTCACGGCCAATGAACTATGTTATGGATGAAGGCAATACATACCTGCATCAAAGCATTACCGTCGCGGCCACGGTTGCTACTGTACCACCGATGCTTGAAGAACACATTGGTGAAGAAATCTTAGTCAGCACGAGTAATTTTTATGCTGGAATTTGGATGGAAAGATCATTCTACAGTCGAACGGCGGGTTTTAATCCCGTTTAATGATCATACTGGCCACTCCATCAAACTCCTTAAAATTATGGCAACCAAATAGACTCCACATGAGGAGCGTGGCGCAGGATATATCGGTCCCTGGCCTTTTGAGTGGCTTCAATATGAGCACTGACACCAGTGGCAGCTTGATCTCTCGAGTTGATTTTCTTGTGGTTTTGCATTGAAGGATCACCGCCATCACCACGCGTCCTATCTTCGGATGAAATTGCGTGAAACAAAACTTCGAAGAGAACTTGCTCGGTCCTAAGATCTCCGAAATGATGCCGCCACATTTCCCCAGAGCCAGTCAACCTGGATTTTGCAGTTTCCGCTCCGGATGATCCGGAGGCATGAGGTTTCGACTTCGAGTCGGATGCATCCTCCAACTCGCCAAAAAAGATGAGGTCTATTCCAGGTCATCCGCATTGCGAGTCGAAGCACCTGCAGCAGACGCAGCGGATGTACCTGTCGAACGTGGTGACTCACCACGTGGAGGATTCACGACATCAGGAGACGAATCGCCTGCTGCTGAGGTGTGAGAGGCACTTTCCGCGGCAGCACGCATGCGTGCAGCCGCCCATTCATGCTGCTGCAGTAGCAGCTCGCGTGGTTTTGGAAATTATGCGTTGGATTGGCAAACGAATGAAATTCGACCAACAAGTGCTCCCTTTCCCAGAGTGATCCAACGGTGGCCACCCTGTCCCAATCAATTCTAATCTGATATACAAGAAATTCATAATTAAGGGGAGGGGTGATTGACGGGTAGCCCGTTACATGATATTGACACCGAACGGTGTCAATAGGGAGATTGTCTGGCGTGACAATCCCCTGCCAGTATTATCCAAGATGGATGATATTGAGAAAATCTTTTCCCCTTTATAGGATAACATTCATGCGCTGCTCAAAGATTGGTTAATAAAAGACATATTAACCAAGGCTACCACCAATCGGTGCTAGACGTGCGTAATGAGTGTTGAGCAGGTTGTCGTCATATGAGAATGTAGATTCATGCATGTTTTTAAAAGACTGTAGTTATTTTGATAGCTTAAGCTACATTAAATACAGTTATCTTGTAACCTTTTATCAAACCAGCTGTTAAGTAGATTACCTTCCTCTGCACGTACTAATGTACGTGAATTTATGTGAAACCCCAAACTTTATTTCGTTAATGACGCGTCCGCTCTCAAGCCTTTATGCGCGCTGGAGTTCTCCAGCTCAGCAGTCGGCCCTTAGCTGCTGGCTGTACTAGTACTTGCGTACTGTGATGATAGCTGTGAACTGACAAATATATTGACGTGCTAACCACTACCACTGACATTTATTGTTTCCTCTCATAATCTTGCGTCTTACTATTGACCTGGCATCATCATCGACTACTACAGCAATATGTGTGGTTAACATTAACCTGGCGTGATTAGTAACACGATAAGTGTTGGCGACAGCAACATTTAACCTGCAACACAAACAAAGAGTGCCCCGTTACGATTGTTGCTATACTTAAAAGTAGATTACGCGGTACTGGGAAGTCGACATCGAAACGGGTGACCTCCACTTTCGGAAGTACTCACTTCAGATTTGGTAGCTTAAAGGAAGATGGAATACAGCCTCGATGATAAACGATTGTCGTCAATCGAGTTATCAATCTCCATGCGATCGATTTACCGTCAATCCTGTTTATGGATTCATTGTTTATGATGCTCATTGGGCTCACAAAAACATCCACATTCCTAGTAAATGATTTCGTGGTCTCACGTAACGCCGACTGAATCAAGTTACCACGTGATCAGTGTGGTTTACCGTTTAAACTGGAAAGGTGGGCGGCGAGCTCGCCGCGGTGGAGGTGGCTCATAGAATTCAACGCACAAACACGTACTGCGATGAATGACTCAATCCCGCGATAGGCCCTTTATGCATTGCGTGCCTGGGCGTATCAACGATGGTCTACTCGTTCTGGTCTGCTATTGCACGAGTGTATTCAAAGTAACACGCAGCCATCCCTGTTACGGTAGTCTTCACGAAATATTGCTAGGGACCTGGACAGGCTTCTTAAGCCGATGGCAAAGCAGATGGAGCGCCACCGACATCGGCTATCAATCATTGTTGCTTCATTGGTGCGAACAGCTAGATGATGGTCGGACGAAGCTGACTGTGAGCAGCATTAAC